GAGAGGAGCAAGAGCCTTCCATGAGATATCCATGAGTAAGAGGGAGTAGGCCAATGCGAAACGGGAGAGAGAGTCTCCCAACCTCGACATGGAAAGAAGACGGCCAGTAAACCTATACTCGGTTTAATAGACTGAAGTTTGTTGCCGAGCATAGTAGACCAACGTTGTTGCCAACGGGTGTGAAGGTGGGAAGATATTACAGCAAAATAGTCCGTACATGGAATACCTCTAAAAGAAACTGGTAGGTCATGTATGCTGATCGCGCAGCAGTGTCTGCCTGTTCATTCCCCTGTACGTCAACATGACCAGGGACCCAACAAAAAACAATATCTTTATGTTTGGGAAAAAGATGCGGCGTAGCCAAAGTTGGATACGGAGGACAAAGGGGGGTGAGGTGTATCAAATTTTTGTATAGCCTGCAAAGCACTAAGGGAGTCCGAGACAACCACAAATGATGACACAGGCATAGATGCAATACGGATAAGTGCTGCAAGGATGGCATATAATTCAGCAGTAAAAATACTAGCTGAAGACAGTAAATGCCCCTGTACGACGCTGTCCGGAAACACTGCTGCGAATCCCACGCCGTCAGAAGACCTAGAGCCATCTGTGTACACAGCAATGGCATGAGAATGAGAGTGAAAGTGGTCAAGAAAAAGAGAGCGGGAAGCGACCGCAGACAGTTGGGCTCTCGAGCAAGGGAGGGAGAAAGAACAGACTCGAACAGCTGGAACTTCCCAGGGGGGCAGGGAAAAGCGAGATGCTACATGTACATAGAAAGGTGGTAGTTGAAGAGAAGACAAGAGCGAATGAAGGCGAAGAGAGAAGGGACGGAGCAAGCAGGGGCGGCGAACAAATAAAGAATGCCCACCAATATCAGTGACCACCCCATAAATGGAAGGATTGCGGAGATCACGAGAGCGCACATAGCAGCGCAGGCAATGGGCATCACGGCGATCGGATAAGGATGGAACGCTCGCTTCTGCATAGAGGCCTTCGACAGGGGAAGAGCGAAAAGCACCAAGGCACAAACGCAATCCTTGGTGATGAATGGGGCTAAGGCTAGAGAGAGTAGCAGGAGATGCCGCTGAATAGATCCGGTCACCACAATCAAGCTTCGACAAAATAAGGGTGGAATGCAGGTGAAGGAGGGTTCGACGATCAGCTCCCCACGAAAGACGAGCAAGGGTTCTAAGAAGGTTCAGCCGGCTGCGACAAGCTGCCCTCAGAGAGGTAATGCGAGGTTTCCAGGACAACCCACGATCAAAGAGGAGGCCCAGAAACTTGACTGCATCACGTTCAGGGACACGCGAGCCACAGAGGTACAAAGGACGATCAGAGATGACAGAGCGTCTAGTGAAAGTGATTTGGTGGGTTCTAGTGCTGGAAAATTTAAACCCACGTGTGGCGGCCCAATCGGAAACACGGTCGACTGCATGCTGGAGAGAAACTGCAAGGAGGTGACAGTCAGCGCCTGCACAGGCAATAGCGAAGTCATCAACACAGAGTGATGACCAAATATTTGATGGAAGACTAGAGGCCAAATCACCAATAGCAAGGAGAAAAAGTGTTGCGCCCAGAACACATCCCTGGGGGACACCCCCAGCTCGGACAAAGTCCGGGGAGAGCACATCATTAACCCGAACACGGAAATGCCTGTCAGTTAAAAAGTTCTTAAGGAAGGATGGTAGATTGCCTCGAAGGCCTAAGAGTGGGCTTGGGCTAAAATATCATACCTCCAAGCTGTGTCATATGCCTTCTCAAGGTCAAAAAACATGGCAACAACTGAGTGGTTATTCGCAAAGGCACCACGAACATACGCATCCAAGCGCAGTAAGGGGTCTATGGTAGAACGTCCCTCACGAAAGCCACATTGAACTGAGTGGAGAGACTGGTTGTGTGTCTCCCAAAATACCAAACCAAAACTTCTATATACTAGACGTTTCCATTACCTACTTGCAAAACCGCACTGGCAAGAGCAATGGGACGATAGTGGGAGTTTCCATGTCCCGCAGGTGCCGCCGTTTGCGGAAAGGGAGAACACTGGCGGACCTCCACAGCTTGGAAGAACTCCCTGTGACCAAATAAATTGTAAAGGCCAATAGGACTGCAAGGGCTTTGACTGATGAAAATGTAGTAGCTACGAAATAATGTCGTCAGCCCAGCATGCCGAGACGGACAAGCTGATTTGTTGCCTCCAGTTCTTGAAGTTAAAAGGCACATTATACTGTTCTTCTCTGAGAGAAGAAAAGTCAAGGGTGCCCAACTCTCTGGCAGACCTGTGGGAAAGAAATGAGGGGCACAGATGGATTCCCCGAGAAATACGGACCAGATGATTGCACAATTTCATTGGCAACATCCCCTAGTTGGGTTTGCTATAAAAAAAATCAAACACCGGCAACCGCCAGAACCGGAGCCGGGTCAGGAGAACTTCTACCACTCAGTTTTCGTACTCTTCTCCAGACTGCACTCATAGAGGAACAGAGGTGATGGTGGAGACCCAACAATCTCGCCAGCAAGTGCGCTCAGGGGTCACGGATGACACGGCGAGAGCGATCGCACGCTTCTGTTTAAAATCAAGGATCGCTCCGTGTTCCTTGTACCGGGTAACCTGCCCATGCAGCGCGCTCAAACGAACTGGCACGAGCACAAGCAGGAGACCACCCAAGGCACGCATTTCCGAGAATGCCTGCCCGAAGTTTGGGGCATAGAACGAGAAGCCCGCGGTGAAAACGGAGGACGAGAAGAGGTGCAAAAGCCTCATCGATGGAGACGAAGAAGGAACCGTCATTTAAAAACAGATCAGGTGTGAGTAAAAAGGTCCAATTTGCCTGATTAAATATGCCAGCGTGTGGCGAAGAGGTGGCGAATAAAGGGAAGTAAGAATGATATGGGAAATGATCACTGTCATTAAGGTCCCGTGAGAACAGACCAAGTAAAGTCTAATGCGGCGGAGGAAGAGCAAACTGAGAGATCGAAGCAAGAGAGAGCAATGAGTCCGAGGATCAAAATGGGTGTGAGCACCTGTATTTAAAACTGGAGGGGGTGGTGGCAAGAAAAGCCCTAACTGAACTCCACGGGAATCACAGTGATACCCTCCCCAGAGAAAAATGGTGGCACCAAAATCACCAAGCAACAGAATCGGTTGCGGCAATGGACGAAACAAGAAAGGCCAAATCCGGAATTAGATAATGTCCCAGAAGGAGAGAGATATAAAGAACAAGAGCGATACCACCTATGCAAGTGGATTACGGCTGCTGTGCAATGCAGCGAAGTATAACAAATAGCTGATGGTACGGAATATCAGTGCGGAAGAAGAGGGCACTTTCATTAAAGTCCCCATCAGGAAAAGGATCTGAAGAATACAATAAATTATAAGCCTTGAGATGTGTGAAAATAGCAGCAGAGTGGCAACTTTTGTTCCTGTAACAAACACCAACAAGGCACACTGGAGAGTAACAATCTGAAGCTCACCCCGGTATTTATTTTTTTTTATTTTTATAATTATTTTATTACCCCTTAGGGCCGCGCATATTCCACCGTAAAAAGGCATGATTGTGCAATGATAAAGATACTTGAAATCCGCAGTAAGGTTCCTACGGACTAGAAGGGTTAGAAAAGTCCACATGCGGAGGCAGTGGAAATGTTCAAGCCAGCGAAGGAACGTGCGCTGTGTAGACAGGAGTCGCGGCGATGGAGCAGAGGAGAGAGAAAGAGCGAAGTGGATCAGTGTCCACTGATGGCTTGGTCTCTGCAATATATTCCGAGATTGCTTCAAGTGTTTCGGACATTCAGAGATGTTCGCATGGGAGTCAAAATTGGGAATGGTAGGGGAGGACGAGCCCCCAAAGATTGGAACTGCTTGTACTTGTACCAAGGTAGGGGGGCGAAAGGGTGGAGGAACTGGAGAAGCGTGGCAGGGGACAGAAGAGACAGGAACCTGGGAGGGGGCAGAAGAGGAAGAAACTTGGGAGGGAAAAGGGAGGAAGGCACACACTAACGAGGAGGAGGCGAACCTCTGCACTTGCAACTGAGCCAGTGACGAGGGAAGTAACCAGGTACAGAGACAGGGAGAGCAAAATGAAGGAGGTGGAAGATGGGTAGGAGGTGCTACCGAACCCCTTTTTGACTTTTGAGAAGTAGAGGACGACTGGGAAGAGGAGTCCGCACGAGTCTCGTCGATACTGAGGCTCGTAAAGAGAAGAACCTCGAAGAGCGAGACTAACGAGGCGTTGAAGTAGGGACGTCTGGAGCCGAGGACATCAAAAGAGTGATTAGATACAGGATGATTATGGTAGATCAACCCACATAGGTGGGTGTAGAAGATGGGACACCAGAAGTGGGGGGACGTTTTGAAACACGGGATATTTAGTGGAATGCGCAAGAGTTGTGTGGGCGTTGTTTTTGAATTAGTAGTCAAACCATACCCCCGGCCGGGATTGAACCCGCGGTCATAGAGTCTCATTACGATTTCTTGAGTCAATTAGTAGTCAAGTAAAATATTATCTGTTTAATTGACTAGTAAAAGTATGTTATATCTGTAGCACTGTTTACCTCTAATAACCTGTAGGACAGCATTTAATACGGCTACAATGCAGGTCTTGTGGCCGAGGAAGGTACACCCACTGTGATAGTCCATGTTGCTAGCAAAGTTGGACTTCCTCTGGATGAAGTAACTCTTGCCACAGCTTTAAGTGCTGCCAACTACACTACTGCTGCAGTAGGTTTGTATAATATCTGCTTCACTGTACCCAAGCACCTCTCTAACACTTATATTAACCAGGGTTCCAGATTATATGCAACATAACTAAACGTAAGATAGAGTACAGGATCATTTGGGCTATAAATTATGAATGACTATATTAAATTTAATTGGAATGTTATTAGTTACTGTTTGAAGTAATAAAGTTGTAATATTTTCAGTGTGAGATAAAAATAAGTGATTTAAAGCTCTTAACTAAGTGTGAAAATAAATGAATTCTTGTATTTAAAAACTATGGTAGAGTATTAGAGCATTCAGTAATTTTCCCCGTCTTTGATTATATAAAAAAAAAATTGAAATCCTCCGTAAACATAAACCATTTATCTGTGACATATGATGTAGACAAGTTTTAATATTATGGTTTAATAATTTGTTGAATGATAAATGCCGACTAAGTAATTTTGCAGCACACATCAAGAATAACACCAGTTGAATAAGAAACACTTGTGCAACACTGGGGAATCTTTATTGAGGAAATGTTTTGCTAGTGTCTCATTATTCAACTTATCGGTTTTCTAAACCATTTAAATGACGCCAAATTTACAAGATCAGTAGTAAAGCCTACCAAATTATATATAAAATATATATATAATAAATATTATATATATATATAAATATATATATATAATTAATATATAATATAAGATATATATAATATAAATAAATATAAATATATCTATATATAGATATATATATATATATATAATATATATATATATCTATATATATATTATATATATATATATATATATTATTTTATTATCACACTGGCGATT